GGCGCGACGGCCTATTGGCAACGGATGCATTAAATAAATAAATAGCATATTTATTGAGAGATTATTTTCAGTTCAACTGGTGATTTTAATTTGCCGCAATAGCTAGAAAGCCGGAAGAGCACTTTTTGGTACGAGCAAGGTACTTTCGGGTAATAGAAACTTCTTCACACTTGTTAATGTTTCAATGTGTATCAATAAGCAGCATATAAATACCGGCGTGCGTCCAAAATTCAAGTTTGGAACATGGTAGTGAATAAAATGAATCGTTTGGTGACCATTTGTTGAGAGACGTCATTGTCTTTCAATCACGGGTAATAACGCCACCTGTGGCGATGCAGCGAGAGAGAGAGAGTAAAACATTGTTTATCAACACCAATTCCCGGACATGTACACACAGCACAACTGCCGTCCTTTACTTTACCAGTTGCCTCTCTAAAACTGGTCGCTAACATGATCGAAATGTAAAACATTTGTGAGATTTTCTGTGTCGTTTTTTTTTACAGTGACTTTTTTCACACATGTGAAAAGAAAGTTGAGACTTCTGCGGGCGGATTTTAAAGCGATAGTTGGCAACAATAATCGTATTTTGTGGTGACTGAAAAGTAAGGCCTTGCGATTTTTTTCTCATGTCCTCAAACTTATTTTTCCCCACTAATTATTATTCTAACATATCTCGCCACTATGTCGCCGAGTTTTCATTCAGTTGTTCAAAACAAGCCATATTCTAAACCAATCGTTTGTGTCCACACTACCAATCATTCACGATTCAAATTACTAGTAGTTGAGAGAGGACGATTTAAGACGTCATTTCGATGATGCAAACTACGTCTTCGTAAATACAGTAAAACGAAGAACAATGCGTTGCATTTCAAAGACGTTTAATGTGAAACAGGCTTGTATTACACTAATTCTATGTATTTTTCAAATTATTGCATTATTAACGAAACAAATTTTTCTTGTTTAAAACACATGTTTTTGCACGGGAACAATAAAGTTATTATTACCCAACCTAACGTGTTTTGACCAAGCATAGAAAATCAGGTGAGAAATTTCACACGGCTTCGTTGGAACTTGAATGGAATTATCTCTGTTATACAGAAGTTGGGACACACTTGGAAGACTTTACTGTAAACATCATTTTACATAGACAAGAAATCAACACGATGAAAAAGAGGAATTGGTTTTCTTATTAAAATGCCTAATAAAAATACCATCCAAGAGTGAAACGATTGAAAAAATGTATTTCATAATTATACCCCATTTGAAAAGGAGTAAGTCGCCGATGTTTAATGATAAAAAATAAGATTTACTCAATAACTGGGTTGGCCGGGTTTCGCATCAAATGGGTTGGCCGGGTTTCGCATCGAATGGGTTGGCCGGGTTTCGCATCAAATGGGTTGGCCGGGTTTCGCATCAAACAGGTTGGCCGGGTTTCGCATCAAATGGGTTGGCCGGGTTTCGCATCAAATGGGTTGGCCGGGTTTCGCATCAAACAGGTTGGCCGGGTTTCGCATCAAATGGGTTGGCCGGGTTTCGCATCAAATGGGTTGGCCGGGTTTCGCATCGAATGGGTTGGCCGGTTTCGCATCAAATGGGTTGGTCAGGTTTCGCATCAAATGGGTTGGCCGGGTTTAGCATCAAATAATATAAATTCGGATTTTTATTTTGTTTAGTATGGTCTCCCATTATATACAGTGAGTTGTTTACAATTTGCAGTACGCAATGGTTGATTGGCAAGAACCGATTGGAGGCACCCAAAGATAAAATAATGGCGGTGTTCGTTGTCGTTGATACAACTCGTGGGCAACGTCGTCATGCCTCAGTGGTTGCAAGCTTTTGCTGATCAGTTAGCGATATTCACAGGATGTAAGCAAAAATGTAAACACATGACGTCATGGTGCGACAGCCTATGATCAAAATAAATATTAATACCGTTCCTTGTTAGAAATGAAGAATTAAATTTTTAATAGATGGGCACTGACAAGTATGTGAAATTTTACATAATATTCGTAAGGGTCGTAGTGGAGCGTTTGTTTTTGTCTGTCGTTTTAGTTGTTTATACTGAATTTGGGCACACATACAAGTTAGAACAACGAGAAGTGAATACGACTTATATTCATTATCTGCAAGTCATGCAGAAGTACTTACAGGGAATCGGTGAGTGAAAGTGGACTATCAATACGGATTTTTGTTGTGCTGTACTCGACTAATGAGATAGTAGATTTGCATGACAACAGACTCGGGAAATTTATACGTCTTTCTCCTTGTACGCGGAACTCCACGGGGTTTTCCCTTTTTTGGATTCCTGCGACTTCATATACGGCTCCTTTCAGGAAATGCATTTGCGACACCCACCCCTAATCTACGTGTCCTGAACAGAGATATATATAATTAAAATGGGTGGGGGGGGACTAGAGGGGCAAGGTTAAAAAAATCATCATATTGTTTCACCCTCGCTCACAGGTAGCCACAGATTATTGACACAAGAAAACTATAAATACCCATCTATCACACCACAACTCAACAACTGAATGTTTAAAGGGGGAGGGTCGTCACTTGCGCATGCGCGGTAATTGAGTCCCAAGCGACGATAACAATACACGCTAAAAACGTGAAGGCTCATGGGTAGACGCTTGTTTGTAAACAATGACACGCTACGCTATCTGACGCATGCGCAGGTGACGACTCCCTCGCTTTAATTTAAATACATGTAGTATGAGAATAGTTTCTGTGGTCGTTCAAGTTGGAATGTGACAAGAAAGCGACCGGCGTGTGCGGCGGGAACCGTCTTCAAAACGAGCCCCGTGTTGTGACGTAAACATATGAGAGTAAATTAAAACACTTAAACCACCTCAAAACATGTTTTTCTGTACTGTACAAAGTGTGTCGAGTGTTTTACATTTATGACTTCAATCCCACTAAAACAATTACAAATGTATTAAGTTCACATCAATTCTACACACGTAACATTGAGGTCATACAAGAGCGAATTACTCTAATAACAGAGTAAAATATGAGATGGCCCATGATGCTCTACTTCATTTTATATTTTGCTATTTTCTCTAGTGGAAACGTTGTGTGAATATTCTTTCAATGTAACATCTCGGTGTGAACATATTCCCTCACTACTACATGTGTATAGAACGGTGTTAGTTGGTTCGCTTATTTGAGGGGGTGTTTGTAACATGGAGCTCCATGTGTGTACTAGTATTTAGATGACTTGGCAGTGAATGACTTGTTTGTTGACTTGATATTATAATGCCTTACATCGTCTTTAAACATAATAAATTAAACCAAAGATTTATAGGATTAGTAATATGGATCAAGTCGCCCGAAATGCGATATAATCACAAAATTGTAAGAAAAAATACATGTGTTGTTTGGAGTTGAATGCGACGATAGTCTTGGTCATTTTAATCCTGTCTAGCAATCGAACATTTTCAAGGATTCACGGCGTTCTGTGACGCTATTGGTTACAACTACGTTCGATTGACGCGCACGGAATGGGGTCGCTTTCAAACGTTCACAAACCGCGAGAGTTCGTTTCTCTTGAGATGTCCATTTCGCCTATCACCGTGCATGGTTATGCGTACTCTGATCTTATAAATTTTTGATTACATATAAAACGTTGATATTAGACACATAATGACGTATACAACGCGTATAAAATCAAAGACACTAAAAAATAGTGTCTTCAATAACATACATTGTTTGTTTACATGAAATTCGAACACGCGCTGCGCGACGACCACCGTCCCTTTAAAGGGGAGGGTCGTCACCTGCGCACGCGCGAAAATTGAGTCTTAAGCGACGATAACAACACACGCTAAAAACGCAAAGGCTCATGGGTAGACGCTTGTTTGTAAACAATGACACGCTATGGCCATCTGACGCATGCGCAAGTGACGACTCTCCCGCTTTAACTGACACATCGCCGGATGCAATTACTTCAAATAAAAAAGTAAGACCCCAAATCGTTAAAAGTGGAATAAATACAGTCATCCTAGTCATATATTATATATTATATATCGCCACTGAGTAAATGTACATTGCAGAAAGCTGCTATATCAAAACCCATAACTGTGCTGTGGAAACGCGCATTTGCATTGTCCAATCAAAACTCGTACACGCGAGGCGCATATATTAACCCTGCCTTTAAAAGTTAGCATGAAGTAATTACATTTGGGTGTACACGAATTACGATTTAAGAGTGGAAAAGTTTCGTTATACCCACTTCCTGTTCATTTTGTGTGTATGGGTGAGTGTATGTTTGAAGGGCGGTAGTCGTCGCGCCGCGCATGCGCAATATATGGGTGTCATATAAACAAAGATGGCGACTTTGACTGTTGTGCATACCAACTAGTACACATTGAGAGGTGG